CCCCCTTTTGGTCTTGTCAAGACAGGATCTCCCTGTAGCCCCAGCTGGCCTGGAACTTATTACATAGACCAGGCTGGCTTTGAACTCACAGAGCTCTGCCTGCCTCTTTCTCTCGAGTGCTGGAACTAAAGGCATGTGCCACCACGCCTGGTGTTTTGGTTTCCTTTTCATCCTCTCAATGTAAGGGGTCTTTTTGCTGTAGTCTATCCCAGTTTCTCTTGACCTGGGTGGGTGCAGTGTGGAGTGCTGATGAGAACTGGTATGCAACTCTGGCCAATTATGATTAGTGACTTCTGGGGGTTTCCCTCTTCCAAAGTACTAAGTCTCAGAGGAAGTAAGCATAAAAGAGTTGGCCTTGGCTTCTCCTGCACAGGTGTCCCTATCTTTTCTTTGAGATAGGGTCTCATTATGTAGCCTAGGCAGACCTTGAACTTATAATCCTGCCTCAGCCTCCTAACTGTTGGGATCCCAGGTATGCCCACTGAGCCTGGCTCACTGATGTCCTTTTTTGCAGCTGGACCAGATCTGCATTTCTTTTGATGAAGGCAAAACCACAATGAATTTCATTGAGGCAGCACTACTGATCCAGGGCTCAGCCTGTGTCTACAGTAAAAAGGTGGGCTCCACAGACTTCTGCTCTTTGTGCTTTACTGTTGAGTGGGACCATGGTCAGCTGTCTTTCTGGGACAGTGGCAGTGCTCGTCTATCTGTGACCTACCAGCATTGTAGGCCACACTCATGATTTCTTAACAACTTTCAGTGCCAAAGGTAAATGAGTTTATTGTTTGTTTTTTTGAGATGCATCTCATGTATCCCAGACTAATATTGAACCTTATATGTAGCTTTGGAGGATGACCTTGAACTTTTGATCCTCCTGTCTCCTGAAGTGCTGATATTATGCAGGTGTGACTCACCATGCCCAGGTTATTTGGTGCTGGAGGTTAAACCCAGGGCTTTGTGCACACTAGGCAAGTGCTCTACCAACTGAGCTACATTCCCAGCCTGTTTAAGATTTTTAATTGTGTGTATGCCTGTGTGTCTGTGTCTGTATCTGTATCTGTGTGGGGGTATGTGCACATGAGTATAGGTGCCTGCGGAGCTAGAGTTATAGGCAGTTGTAAGCTGTCTGACTTGATCCCCTGGGGCTAGAGTTATAGGCAGTTGTAAGCTGTCTGACTTGGGTGCTGGGAGCTGAACTCTGGTCTTCTGCAAGAGCAGTGTGTGCTCTTAACCGCTGAGCCATCTCTCCAGTCCTCTTATTTGTTTTTGAGGCAGGCTCTCATGTAGTCCAGGCTTCCTTGAATCCCTGATCTTCCTGCCTTCACCTCTCAATTGGTTAGATCACAGGCATGTGCCATTATGCCCTGCTAAACTGGTTTAAAATGGCATGGCCAGGGGCTAGGGAGATGGCTCAGTTGGTAAATGTCTGCTGAGCAACCATGAGGAACTGAGTTTGGATCCCAAGCACCCACATAAAAAGCCAGGTGCAGCAGTATGCATTTGTAATCCCAGTACTATGGCATAGAGATGTGTGGATTCCTGGAACTCACTAGCCAGCTGGCCTAGCTAATCATTGAGCTCTTGGTTCAGTGAAAATAAGGTGGAGAACAATCAAAGAAGATGCCTAAGGTTGTCCTCTTACTTTCACATGTGTGCGGACATGTACACGCCCAGCTGTATGTGTGCAGGCACAACCCCCACCTCCACACTGCACACATATACAATATGAACACATATACAAAACACACACAAATAGTATGGCCAGGCTAGTGGCATAGCTCAGTTTTATAGCACTTGACTAGCATCCATAGTGCCCTGGGTATGCGCCCTAGCACTACAATAAATAAATAATAAAATGACTGGGAAGAGAGGATCAGGTGTGCTGTGAGCTCTGTTGTCCCCTATGTATATACTTATCTGTAGCTCAGAGGTGGTATGTGCATAAGCTGAACCTTCCCTTCCACAGGTGGGTGGTCATACTATATTATCAACATCTAGAAAAACTCCAACTCTCACTCCAGTGATGGGAACTCTGGTTCTTTGAAGCAAATGAAAGACCTGTCATAGCTTAAGTTGTAACAGGGCTATCAGAGACTCGCTTATGCACCCTCCTGTGAATGGGGTAGTAGGTTAGTAGGAGCTTCAGTTGGCCTGAGGGCACTGATGGGAACTGGACAAAAGAGCAGTGGTTATTATTATGTGTGAGGGGCCTGGTTTACAGTGCCTGTGCCAAAGGCTGCCTAAAACATACAGTAGGTACCCATGGTGACATAACTATGCCCTGTGTTATGGAGGCCATGCGTGTAGGCTGTGTGGAATATGGAACAGAGAAGAGAAATAGAAACCATAGCTATTGAAATAATTGTGATGAGACTACTAATTTGACTTGAGAATTACTTATTTTGTGTGTATGGTATTTGTATATGTGGGGTGTGTGCACACATTGTTCACGATTGTGGAGGTCTGAAGTTGATGTTAGGTATCTTTATTTGATTGCTCTCCACTTTTTTTTAAAAACTGTCTCTAGCCCCAGCTGGTCTGGAACTTGCTATGTAGACCAGGCTGGCCTTGAACTCAGAGATCTGTCTGCCTCTGCCTCCCGAGTGCTAAGATGTAAGTATCACACCTGGCCTTCACTTTTATTTTTATGAGACAAGATCCGTCACTGAACCTGAAGCTCATTGAGTCTGCAAGGCTGGCTGGCCAGCTGGCTGCAGGGATCCTCCTGTCTCTGCTTCCCCAACTCTCCCCAAGGCTGGGATTACAGGCGTCCACTGCCGTGCCTGGCTTTTTACATGGGTTCTGGGGATCTGAACTTGGTGCACATCAGGCACTTACTGATGGAACCATCTCCCTAGCCAGAGAATTATTTGTGTGTGTGTGCGTGCGTGCACGTCTGCACATGTGGCACATGAGTGCTTGCCCATATGTGCAAGCCAAAAGTTGATGTAGGGATGTCTTCTTAATTGCTTCTCCACAATTTTTAAAAGGTTTTTTGCCAGGTGTGGTGGTGCACGGCTTTAATCCCAGCACTCGGGAGGCAGAGGCAGGTGGATCTCTGTGAGTTTGAGGCCAGCCTGGTCCACACGATGAGTTCCAGAACAGCTGAGGCTACAAGGAGACCCTGTCTCAAAAAGACAAAAAAAAAAAAGTTTTTTTAAATTTATATGTTTATGTATATGTATATGTATGTGTGGGTGCTTATGGAAACCAGCAGAGGGAGTTGGATCCCTGGAGCTGAAACTTGCCTGACATGGATCTAAACTCAGGTCCTCTGGAAGGGCAGGAAATGTTCTTAACCACTGAACTATCTCTCTAAAACATTCACCTTATTTTTTGAGACATGGTCTCTCACTGAACCTATAGTTTACTGTTATAGCTAGACTGGTTGGCCAGCAAAGACCAGGATCTGCCTTTCTCTTCCTGCCCCAGCGCTGGGATTATAGATGAATGCCACCACACCCTTTATCTTTTATTTTGTTTTTTGTTTTTAAATATTTATTTTTAATTATGTGTATGAATGTATTGCCTACATGTACGTAAGTGCACCCATGTTATCCAATGCGGAAGAGGGTGTTGGATTCCTTGGAGCTGGAGTTATGGATAGTTGTTAGCTGCTATGTGAGTGCTGGGAATCGAACCCTCTGCAAGAGCAGCCAGTACTCTTAATGGCTGAGCCATCTCTGCACCCCCATGTTTTGGGGGTTTTTTGAGACAGGGTCTCTGGAACTCTCTGTGTAGACCAGGCTGGCCTAGATCTCACAGAGATCTAGGATTAAAGGTGTGCATCATCATGCTTGGCTGTGTCCAATTTACATGAGTCAGAGATCTGAACTCAGGTTCTTATGCTTGTATAGTAAGCATTTTACTTACTAAACAATTTCCCTAGCCTCCCCCTCCTCATTTTTTTTTTTTTTTTTGTGTGAGACAGGATCTTGCCTCTGGCTTCTAAGTGTTGGGGCAGGCTTGTCAAAAATTTTTTGTTGTTTTGTTTTTTGTTTCTGTTTTTGTTTTTGGTCTTTTTGAGACAGGGTCTCCCTGTAGCCCCAGCTGTCCTGGAACTCACTATGTAGACCAGGCTGGCCTTGAACTCACCTGCCTCTGCCTCCTGAGTGCTGGGATTAAAGGCGTGTGCCACCACACCCGGCCCCTGTTTTGTTTTTAAGACAGGATCTCATGCTATAACCCAGGCTGGCTATGTAGCTCAGGGTGGACTCACTCATGATGATCCTCCTGCTTCAGCCTCCCAAATGCTAGAATTATAGGTGTATGCCATCACTCTGACAGTGAGAATTACTTGTAAAACTGGCTGGGCTTGTGTAGAAGTTTGGAGGTGATAGCTAGACCTTGGTATGCACCAGCTTCTAGTACTAGTACGGAACGCCTTAGGGTAGGCTCACAGGACCATTTTGGGTGGGCCCCTCCTTTTCACATCCTCACTGCCTACTTATGGTTGCCAGGTGGAGTACCTCTATTCACTGGTCTACCAGGCTCTGGACTTTATCTCTGGCAAGAGGTGAGTATTAGAGGTGACCAGGATGCAGAGGCCTTCATCTTCTCGGTGATGTCCTCACAGCTTGTGAGACCCCTGCAGCCTCCTAGGATACTCACAGGATGTTTTACTCTCTCAGGCGAGCCAAGCAGCTCTCTTTAGTACAGGAAGATGGAACCAGCGGGGCTGCCAACTCAGGGGTGCCCCCTGAAGCAGAGGATGAGGTGAGTTGGGGCACATGGCCTCTACTGTGGGTGTTTGCTGGGCTCTGCTCCCATGAGCACTTGCTGTCTCCTACAGTTCCTGTCACTGGATGACTTCCCTGACTCTCGAGCTAATGTGGATCTAAAGAATGACCAGGCACCCAGTGTGAGTGTTCTGGCCCTTTTGGGGGTAGAGGTAGCAGGCTTCTTGGGGACTGATCCATGTGGAATGTAGAGCTTCTTCTCTTCCTCCCCCTCCCCAGGAACTGCTCATCATTCCCCTCCTGCCCATGGCCCTGGTGGCCCCTGATGAAGTGGAAAAGAATAGCTGCCCCTTGTATAGGTACAATCCCCAAGCTAGCATGGGGGGGAGGGGGAGGAGGACTGTCTGGGAAGGGTCTTTGTAGTGAGCGTGTTTTTGTCAACACAGCTGTCAGGGTGAGGTCTTGGCCAGCCGGAAGGATTTTAGGATGAATACGTGCACTCCCCACCCCAGAGGGGCCTTCATGTTGGAGCCAGTAGGCATGTGTCCCATGGAGCCTATAGATATGTGCCCTGTGGAGTCTGTGGATGTGTGTCCTGTGGAGCCTGTGAACATGTACCCCATGCCAAGGAGCCAGAAGGGTAAGGGCTTGGATGTGGGGCTTAGCGGGAAGGAAGTTGTAGGAGGTCTTTTAGGGGACTGCTGCTGGGTACCCTGTGCTCACCGTTTCTAGTCTTAGAGGCTGCTTCACTCTAGCACCTCTTCTACTTTAGATAGGTTAGCTAAGCTTTTCCTCTCATCTTCACTGTGCCTTGATTGCCAGCCAGCAAGGTCACAGCTGGCATCAGTATGGGCCTGACACCTGAACCTCTCCTCATTCCCAGGCTTGGGGCCTGCTGGGTTCTGCCTTCTAGAAAGGCTCTTTGGGTACCAGTAGGGAATTTCTGGGGGTGGGACTGATATCATGTTCCATATCCATCCAGATCATGAGGGTGCTGAAGAGCAGCCAATGGAAGTCTCTAGATGTGGGAGTCCTGTTCCTGTACTCAGCATTTCCCAAGAGCCAGGTGAGAAGACAGCTCACTGTTGGTTCTAACAGGGCTGAGGAGGAGACCAGGGAGGCAAAGCTAGGTTGAACTCTGATCTTAGATGCTCTCAGCTTCCCTAGCCTATCTTGCCTGCTCCTTGCTCATTGGGCTGTGGGGAGCAAGACATAATGGTAGCAGATACAGCCTTACACTGGCTGGCTGTGCTGGGGCCCCATCCTCACTGAGATCTTCCCTCCTGGGTCTCCTTTGGGTATATGCAGATGGCAACATAAAGAATATCTGCCTGGGCTATAGCTCAGGTAGAGTGCTTCTTAGCTTAACACCCAGGATTCAGTCCCCAGCATAAATAAATCAGTAAGTATATAAATATTTGCCAGGAAATAAGATAAACCAAGCAAAGCTTGCCAGTATGAAGAAGCGAGCACAAGGCCCTGTTGGATTTTCTGCATGTTAAAGTGTGAAGCTAAAAAGAGAGAGTGACCTGTCCAACTCTTCTGGAGTTGGCCATGGACAACCTGGCCCCCTCCATATGGGAGCCCCATCTACTGTTTGGCCTCCAGTCTCATTGGGGCTGACTGGTTTCTTGGTTCTTGCCCAAACACTTTTCTAGAAGGCCCAGTGCTCAGTGGTGGAGATGAGGATGCAGAAGATGTGGAGGCTGCTCTAGAGCCTGCAGAGCCCGGGACCCCGCAGCAGGTGGGACACTAGCGATGCTCAAGTTGTCAATGGGGCGAGCCCCGTTCTGGGACAGAATTGCTGTTATGTGGAGACATCAGTGTCATGACCTTGGCTCCTGGCACATTGGTGTCTGTCCCATTGCCCTAGTCTTTGTATATCCTTATCAGAAGCCTGGCCATCCTTCAGCCAGACTTTTTTTTTTTTTTTTGAGACAGAATCTCTCTGTATCCCCAGTTGGCCTGGAACTCGCTATGTAGACTGGGCTTGCTTCAGTCTAACAGAGGTCTTCCTGCCTGTGCCTCTTAATGCTGGGACTAAAGGCATGTGCCACCACACCTGGCCAACCAAACCTTTTAAAAATATTTTATCTATTATTTTTTATTTTATGTGTATGGGTGTATTGCCTGCATGTATGTAAGTGCACCCGTGTCGTGCAATGCTGTGGAGGTCAGAAGAGGGCTTCGGATTCCCCTGGAACTGGAGTTAAGGACTGTTCGTAGCTGCCATGTGGGTGCTGGGAATAGAACCCGGGTCCTCTGCAAGAGCAGTCAGTGCTCTTAACCGCTCAGCCATCTCTCAGCCCCAAGAAATGCTAATTTATTAAAAGCAACTAATAACAAAAAAATCTTGAGGCTGGAGATGTAGTTGAGTGATAGAATACTAGCCTAGCCTATGAGAAGCCCTGAGTTTAATTTTTAGCACTGCAATACAAATAAATAAATACAAATTACAAAATCAGGGAGCTGGAGAAATGGCTAAGTTATTAAGAGTGCTTACTGCTCTTGCAGATAATCTGAGTTTGGTTCCTAGCACCCATGTCAGGCAGCTCACAAACACCTCTAACTTCAGCTTAAGGGAGATCCAACCTCTCACCTCCATGGGCACTTGCACTCACTCACATATACATAATTAAAAAAAAAAAATAAGCCAGGCATGGTGGCACACACCTTTAGTCCCATTACTTGGGAGGCAGAAGCAGGTGGATATCAAGGCCAGCCTGGTCTACATAGCAACTTAGAGGCCAGCTGGGGCCATAGGGAGACCCTGTCTCACCTTCCCCCAAATTAAAAATAAATAAAATATTAAAAAAAATAAAATCAGGCATGGTCATTCATGCTTATAATTCCCATACTCAGCAGGCCAAGATAGGATTGTGAAGAGTTTTAGGCCAGCCTGGGCTACAAATTGAGAGCTTGTCTTAAAGACAAAAAAATTAGGGGGTTGGGGTGATGGATCAGTGGCACTTGGCTATGTGTAACCATGAGGACCTGAGGACTAGAGTTCAGATCCCCAGAAACCCATATAAATGCTGGTGGTGTAGCAGTGCACCTGTAATTCCAGCCCCAGGAATCAGAGTCAGGATACTCAGAGCAAGCTGGCTAACAAGACTAGCCATGTGGGCAAGCTCTGACTTTAACTAAGTCTCTGCCTCAGTGAATAAGGTAGAAGAGCAATTGAGGTTGATTCTCAACATCAATCTCAGACCTCTGCATGCATGGGTACATTCATGGACATGCACCCACACACGTGTGACTACACACAACATACATACACACATGAAAAATGGAAAAAGGAAAAAAAATCTTACAAAACCAATCTAATGTATTCAGAAGGAAACGTTAACATTTATTAGTTCAGGGTAGATACTATTATTTTGTTTCTTGGAGACAGGGTCTCACTATGTGTCCCAGGCTAGCCTTGAACTTATGTGATCTTTCTGCCTCAGTCTTCCAAGTGTTGAGACAGGTGTGAGCCACCATGCCTGGCTATCATGTTCTCATTTGTTTGTTTTCTTATTTATATATATCTATGGATTGTAACTAGTGCCTTGCACATGCTAGCCAAGCACTTCAGTATGAGCCACATCCCTGACAATATTGTGCTTTTAAAGAAAATGTCAGGGCTGGAGAGATGGCTCAGTGGTTAAGAGCACTGGCTGCTCTTGCAGAGGACCTGGGTTTGATTCCAGCACCCACATGGCAACTAACAACCAGGGGATCCAACAACCTCTTCTGACCTTCGAGGGCATTGCACAACATGGGTGCACCTACCTACATGAAGGCAATACACTCATACACATAAAAATAAAATATTAAAAACAAAGAAAATGTCTCCTCCAGGCATGGCAGCGCATACCTTTAATCAGGAGGTAGAGGCAGGTGAATCTCTGTGTTCGGCTAGTGCTATATAGTGAGAACCTATCTGAAAAAAAAACAAAAACAAAAGAACAGAAAATGTCTTCCATGATGGCTAGTTTGAGTGTGTGCTCTGAAGTTTGTTTGCATCTGTATGTATGGGTGTATATGGAGGCCAGAAGTCAACCTTAGGTCTTGTTCCTCAGGAGCTGCCTGCCTTTTCTTTTTTAAAAGATTTATTTATTTATTTAATTTTTAAAAAATATTGACTGTAGATGTAAATATGATAATCCAAATGTCTTCTTTTTTAATATTTTTATTTATTATTTTTATTTTATGTGTATGCATGTTTTGCCTGCGTGTAGATAAGTGCACCCATGTCGTGCATTGCCCATGGAGGACAGAAGACGCTGTCGGATCCCCTGGAACGGGAGTTACGGACAGTTGTTAGCTGCCATGTGGGTGCTGGGATTTGAACCTGGGTCTTCTGTAAGAACAACCAGTGTTCTTAACCGCTGAGCCATCTCTCCAGCCCCCAAGATTTATTTATTTTTATGTGTATGAATGTTTTGCCTGCCTGTATGTCTGTGCACCACATGCATACCTGGTACCCACAGAGTTTAGACGAGGACGTCAGATCCTCTGGAACTGGAGTTACAAATGGTTGTAAACCTCTATGTAGATGTTGGGAACTGAACGTAGGCCCTTTGCAAGAACAGCAAGCACTTAACTGCAGAGCCATCTCTCCAGCCCCCTACTTTGTTTTTTTTTTGTGGCAGGGTCTTTCTGGGGGCTCACTGATTAGGTTAGACTGGTCAGTGAACTCCCAAAGAGCTGCCTGTTGCCGCCTCCCCAATACTGGGATGAAAGTAAGCATCACCACACCTGGTTTAACATGGGTGCTACGAATTAAACTCAGCTTCCCATGCTTGCATGGCAAGCACTTTGCCAACTGAGCTATATTCTCAGCCCCTCCTTAGGGTTTTGTTTTACTTCTTAATCCTTGAATTAGGCTCCAAATGGGCCCTTCCCAGGTTCTTGATGTGGGCCAAGGCAGAACTTCTGGGATCTAAGAACCTTGGGTGATCAGAGGGCAGGAGAAGAGATCTTGTGGGCTATTTCTTTGCAGAGTGCCGCCTTGCCAAGGAAATACATGCTGCGGGAACGAGAGGGAGCCCGGGAGCCTGTGTCCTGGCTGAAGGTGAGAGATGTCAGGGCTCCGAACTCCCTGGCAGAAAGGGTATGTGCAAGGTCTTCACCTGTCTTGTCTTTGGCCCTGCCACCCTTTGGAGCCTCAGTTCCTAAGCTCAGAGTCTGGCCCTTCATATTTGCACTTTTTCAGGGTATCTTTTTTTTTCTAGAAATTAAAGGCCCCTCCCATAAAGTTCTGGGCTACTGTTCTCTGTGATCCTAAGCTGTCACTATACTTGTGACAGCTCTGGGAGAGAAGACATAAGCCCAGCCCCACCCCCCTCATCTTCTGCTTGTATTCTGTGCACAGGAGACCCCAGACCCCTGGCAGAGTCTGGACCCTTTTGACTCCTTGGACTCTAAGCCCTTCAAGAAAGGTAAGTAGGTGGGGGAACACCTCACTCATGCCCGCCTTGGCCAGGGTTGCTGGGTTACGAGGTAATGGAGTTGTGGTAGGCTGTGTCTCCATACCGTGGCTGCTCTTGAGGCAGTCCCTCTTTGGCTCCAGGTAAGCCATACTCTGTGCCCCCCTGTCTGGAGGAGGCTCCAGGACAGAAGCGCAAGAGGAAGGGAGCCACCAAACTGCAAGACTTCCACCAGTGGTACCTGGCTGCCTGTGAGTGGGTGTGTGGGTTAGGGTGGCACATGCTTTTGCCTGGGTGTTGTGAGTAGTCCCTTTCCTGTGGAACTTTGGATTGGTTCCTGCTGATCGTTGTCTCACAGATGCTGACCATGCTGACAGCAGGAGGCCTCGACGAAAGGGCCCAACCTTTGCTGGTGAGGCTGGGTCCTATGCACGTTTTCAGGGAAGATAGTCTTTGTCTGTCTCTCCCAACTTCTCTTCCCCTTGCTAGGGTCACTTGAAGTCCTTGGTGGACTGGTGTGAGTCTGGGCTGGATGGGGGAACCCCTCATAAAGTCTTTGTCTACAGATATGGAAGTCCTGTACTGGAAGCACGTGAATGAGCAGCTGGAGACCCTTCGAAAGCTACAGAGACGTGAAGCAAGTATCCATAGTACTGAGGTCTGGGACCCCCACAGGGTCTGGAAGATGAGTGTCCTCACAGATGCTCTCTAGACAGGTGGCTGAGCGATGGGTGCCCAGGGCCAAGGAGGATCTGTGGCCTGCAGAAGAGGATCGCTTGGAAGATTCCCTAGAAGACCTGGGGGTGGCAGGTATGTGCCTTTTACAGGGATGGGATGGGGGGTTAGAGCTCTCAGCACCTGCTGCTGGCTGAGTAGCTACCTGTGGCTGCCTCTCCCATGTCTCAGCAGATGACTTTCTAGAGCCTGAGGAGTATGTGGAACCTGAAGGGACAAAGCCTGGGGAAGCTGCTGACCTAGGTAGGTCTGGATGAGCAGTTGCTGGAGTGTGCTGAGAGCAGGAGCTGCAGGAGGGGAGCGTGTGTGGCCTTATACCAGCAATAACTCATTCTTGGCCCTTTCCAGATACAGAGGCTATGCCAGAGTCCCTGAGATATGAGGAGCTGGTCCGAAGGAATGTGGTAGGTCTGGGTCAGAGGGTGGGAGTTGTGGGGGGCATCCTGGCCCCTTGCATACGGAAGAACCACTGTCCTCCCATAGGAACTCTTCATTGCCACCTCCCAGAAGTTTGTCCAGGAGACAGGGCTGAGCCAACGCATCAGAGACTGGGAGGATACCATCCAGCCCCTGCTCCAGGAGCAGGTGAGGCATGATGCTATTTGGGAACTATAGCCACCTACCACCAGTCTGGGATTTGTCTAGGGCAACCTTTCCACCAGAGCTAACATCTTTCCCCTACGCAGGATCAGCATGTGCCCTTTGATATCCACACCTATGGGGACCAGTTGGTTTCACGGTTCTCCAGGCTCAATGAATGGTGTCCCTTTGCGGAGCTTGTAGCCGGGAAGCCTGCCTTTGAGGTGTGTCGTTCCATGCTGGCTTCCCTGCAGCTGGTGAGTGGCCTGGAATATATGGGAGGGAAAACAGCCCTGGATCCCACTGATGCCTTGTCCCCACAGGCTAATGACTATACGGTGGAGATCACCCAGCAGCCAGGACTGGAGGCAGCTGTGGACACCATGTCCCTGAGATTGCTCACGCACCAGCGAGCACACATGCGCTTTCAGACCTATACAGCCCCCTCCATGGCCCAGCCTTGAATGGAGAGCACTGAGACAGGTGGAAGGTGTGTACACCTTGAAGTCTTGTGCCCTTGGTGTGCCGAGGGGCCATTTACTCCAGAGCTGCCTTCTAGCTGGCCCAGCCGAATAAAGTGATATTGTCATCCCACCCACCTGCCCAAAGAAACCGTTAAAAAAAAAGTGCCTGTTCTACGTAGTGAAGAAAGTTGTATGGCCCCTGTGTTCCCGTCCTCCATTGGCTGTGGGTACAGAACCACACACACACACAGATAAGTATATCCATTTAATGACAGGGTCCCGGGTAGAAGTGATTCAGGGCAGAGTGCTGTGGAAAGCAGCCATGTGCTGCCGCACACTGTCTACAATCTGTTCTGCTGTTCTGCTCCGACCATAGTAGTCAGTGAAGAGACCATCTGGGTTGAGCAAGTAGATGGCAATGGAGTGGTCCACAATATAATCCTGGTCCTCATCCTTGGGGCCAGCACTGTAGTATACACGGTAGCTACGGCTAGCCTGGGCCACCTGTTCTGCAGAACCAGTCAGACCCAGCAGTCTTGGGTGGAAGTCCTGCACATACCTGGCCATGGCTGCCACATCATCCCGTGCAGGGTCCACAGTGATGAAGACAGGCTGCACTAGGGGCAGGTCAGGTTCTGCCTCTAGTTGCTGCACCACTTGCACCAGCTTCTCTAGCTCATCAGGGCAGATATCAGGGCAGTGAGTGAATCCAAAGTACATCAGCACCCACTGACCTCGGAAGTCAGCCTTGCACCGAGGCTGGCCTTGGTGGTCTAGTAGGCTGAAGTTGCCCTGACCCACAGCAGCCTGACGCAGGGCCTCTGTTCGTTGCTGTTGCCGCCACCGTTCCTTCTCAGCTCTGGCCTCCAACCATGCCCAGCCCAGCCCAGCCCCAAACAAGGCAGTGACCAGCAGCCTAGTTCGTAGCCCAGGGCCTTGGGGCTGCCCCTGCCCTGACAAGCACCGGGACTTTACATATAAGGTTTCACTTCCTGAGCTCCTAAGGAGGACTCCAGGTTTGAGCTGAGAGAGCCTGGGCCAAACTCTAGGGCCAAGAGTTAGCAGCAGCATGGACCTGAAGCTCCTGGTAAAAAAACAAAGGTACCATAGGTCAGAAAAGAGCAGACAAAAAGGTATTGGGGGGGCGGGGGCGTAGCCTGGAGAGATGGCTCAGCAGTCAAGAGCACTGGCTCCTCTTACAGAGGACCCGAGTTCTGTTCCCAGCACCCACATGGCAGCTGACAATCTAGACAATCTATGGTGACTCCAGTTCCAGGGGAATCCGATGCCCTCTTCTGACCTCTGTGGGCATTGCACGACAGGGGTGCATCTACATACATGCAGGCAATACACTCACATTAAGGAAAAAAAAAAAAAAAGGCCTCCACTGCTGGAGAAACTAGCCACCCCATTCAGGCTGTTAATTAGCTGTCTGCATCTCATCGAAACTCAGAACTCCACCTCATACATCAAGCTCCAGCTTAGATGGCACCGAATGTCTACATCTGGCTTGGTCCACACCTATCATTCCTAGTTCCTTTAACCTGGGAGCCTCAAGTCTCAGCCCATCCGGTGGGGATCGTGCCCCTCAGCAGCCGGTCTTTCCTCTTGTTGCCTGGAAGCATTTCTAACGTTTTGCCTGGAGTGCTGAGCACATGTGTCCATTTACAGTAAATCCATTTTTTGAAGGGAGGAGGTGGATACTCTGGCTTACGACCTTCAAGGGTAATGCTACTTTAGGGCTGGCTCTGACTTCCAAGGTTCAGCGAAAAACCTGTGCTGCAAACGCCATAGTGATCCCGGCCCCCGCGTTATCTGCGTATGTGTCCAGCCTTAATCCTGTGCAGACATGTCTGCACTTGCCTGGCGGCCTCATCCTGCTCCTCCCGGTAGTCCTGCTTCCCTTGCCTCGCCGCCTTTGTACTGTCCCTTGAGGGCTTGGGCCTTTGGCAAGGGGAGGTCTGGAACAACTAACTCATGAGCCACCGGTTCCACCTTAAAGGGGAAGGCAGTGAACTTTCGCCGTGGGCTTCAGTCTGGCACTTCTCTAGAACTATCCCAGGACCACCGCAAGGTGAAATCGGTAGCAGCACCAGTCCCTGTCCCCGTGTCGTCCCCCCCCCCCCCCCCCGTACCCGAATCAGAGTGCCAGACAGACCGAATTCAGCTCACCACCACTTTCCCAATGTGGAGCGCGCGTGCGTACCGTGGTTGCGGAAGTTACGTATGCGCTGCGTCCCGCCCGGCGACGCCCCCTAGCGCGTACGCCCACCCTCCCCGAGTACCTACCCCAGCTGCCCTAGTCCTGACTCAGGGTCGCGAGGTGGTCGGAGGCAAGAGCAGCTCCGCGAAGGGCGAGGGAGCCGCGAAAGGCGCGCGGTCCGACAGCACGAGCGCCCCCTGCAAGGCACGGCGCTGGGGGCCGCTGAGCGACGGGCCGTCCAGGTGCACGCGGAGCCAGGGCGTCCCTGCGGCGTGACGGAAGTTATTACCCAGGTCACAGCGAGCGACTGGCGGGGGGGGCGGGTAGGGTGTCTAGGTTTCCGGGCGGTGCTTACCGCAGCGCAGCCGCTGACCCACGTTGACCAGCAGCTCGGCGCCCACGCCGGGCAGGATATGCTGACCCGCTCGGCTTCGTCCGGCCCCGAGCTCGTGTAACACCAGGGCGAGTGGCAGCGCCTGGACGCGCTCCACAGTGCCTGCGGGAGAGGGCGGGCGTTGGGGAGTTGCTGGAGCCGGGGGTACGGAGAAGAGCAGAACCGGGAGGAAAGGGAGCCGGGTGCCCGGGATATCCAGCCTCACCGTCCGAGGGTGCGAGCAGCTCTTCTTGCTTCCGGGCGTGGGGCAGTAGCTGGCGGCGTTGCGTGGGACTTCCGGAGCACAGTGCTCGAGCCAGGCCGGGGTCCACGCCCTGCGCCGCAAGCATCCGCTGGAAGCGACCTAGCGCTGAGCCGTCGTCCAAGGCTGCAGCCACCCGGGCGTCGCCCTGGTCTTGGGTCTCTGCTTGTCCGCTGAGCCAAAGCAGGGCGCCTCCTGCTGGCGGGTGGGGCAGAGCTCAGGAACTGCTGGGGCTCTGGGCACCCAACCGGTCTACAGATTTGTGGCCCTAATCTTCCATGCCTTTTCGTGCCTCCCTCACCTAGCCTAATGACCATGTCCCGCAGGTCTGGCGGCCCCGCACCATCCAGGCAAAGCAACGCTTCTTCCACCTCCAGCACGTGGCCCACGGTGCGGCCCAGGGGGTTGTCCATGGTGGTCAGCGCTGCGGCCACCCGCAGCCCCAGGCTTACTCCTACATTAACCTGGGATGACACTGTTCAGTGTCCAGCCAGCTTTACCAAACCCCACCTTTATTGCACCTGGATGGCTAGTCCCTTAGGGTGTCAAAAAAGGCTTGGGGTGGAGACCAGGAGCCAGCACTGCCAGATCTCAACTGGCCATCAGGAGGCTCTTGTCTTTGCCACCAATGGAGAAGTGTACGGGGGGGGGGGGGTGTTCCCAGGGGCCCAAGGTCAGGACAACCATGATTGGGTAGGGTAGGTGTTCTGGAGGGAGGGACTGCCAGTTGGGTTCTAGCAGGACTGTTGAGTGGGCAGAGGCAGGATGGAGTATGAGAGAAGGTGGGGGTTAGTATGGGGAGATTCCCCCCCCCCCATAGAAAGGCCAGAGGCCCAGTACAGGGGCTCACCAACGTCTTTGCCAGCTCTCGAGCCTGCTCCTGATCTGGGAAGACTGCAGCCCCCCCAAATTTAACGTCCACCACCAGAGTGGACAGTCCCTCCACGGCCTTCTTACTGAGGATGGAGGCTGTGGAGGACAGAGACATCATTCCAAGGGATGCTGCCTTGGGTCAAGAGTGGTTGCCCCTGTGATAGGGGTCGTGCTGCCTAGTGGATTGTGTATTAGGGTACCCCCTTATCAGGTCACCTGTAATGAGTGACACACTGTCCACAGTAGCTGTTACATCTCGTGCAGCATACAGGATTCCATCAGCAGGAACTAGTTTCTCACTCTGGCCCACAATGCAGCAGCCCACTTGCTCCAGTAGCAGCAGCATCTGCTCAGACACCCCCAGTGACCTCTGAGCATTAACCACAGACTCAGCAAAGGTTCAAAACATAACCAGTGAGTATAAGGAACCTGTGAATGATTCTGATGACTCTGACCCACCTAAGAACCTGATTAGTGTATGGCACGTTAATGATTAGCAGTCTATCAGTGATTTCCACCCATTCCCCAGTAATGATCCTGATCAAAGTTCTCTTGATGACTCTGACCCAATCTACTATCAGTGACCTTTAGAATAGTCAACATTCTCATTAGTGACCCTTATAAATAACTTGGTGATCATCCCATAATTATGGCAGTGTTTCCTTCAACCCAGATCAGTGATCAGTCAGTGGCCCATCTGTACCTGTTGTGGGCTCTGGATGACACTGAACCCAGGAATAGACTCCAGCTTATCCAATGTACCCCCTGTGTGTCCCAAACCACGTCCACTGATCATTGGCACCTAGTAAACAGGGATACTGACTGTCCCTGCACAGTTCCCCTTATTCCCCACATCAGCTCTTCTGGTAAGTTCTTCAGCTAAAATTAATTTTTTTAGCAGTTGTAATATTTTAAAATATTAAAAGTATTTTAAGTAGTTAAAGTAGGTGCCCAATTAGTGGAAAGGAAAACAAATTGTGCTGGATGGGGAATGATTTGTCAGCGGAATAGGAGCTAGCACTCCTCTGGGGACACACGTCTGAGGGACGAGAGAGAAGGACCCAGCTCTTTGCTTGAGAGTACCGGTGGGTATAGAGGGGGCAGAGGAGGCTGCATTCTGTATTGGTACTTGATCTGTACTGGGGGATAGGGCAAGCCTGGGTCTCATCTTTGAGGGCTCTGGGTCAGGCTTGAGAGTGGGAACTGTCTGTGAATGGGTCAAAGATTTGGAGAGGTGGTAGTTGCTAACCTTGCAGCCACAGGCAGCCAGGGCAGGTGCCAGGACCAGGCTGACCTTGTCACCCACGCCGCCTGTGGAGTGTTTATCCACAAGTTGCTGGTGCCAGGCCTCCGGCCACTCCAACTGCTGTCCAGATTTGGCCAGAGCCTGAGTCAGTGCAGATGTCTCCTCCAGGTCCATGCCCTGCAGCCGGATGGCCATGAGCATGGCTCCTAAGTATGGACACATGAAGGACATGTTCACACAGCATGGGAATAGTAATGGTAGTGGGGTGCTGTGGATCCTTGAGGGCAGGTGTCTATAGGGCAGTTGGGGTCAAGGTCCAGGTTAGGGCTGCCCACACACCGATTTGTGTGTCCTGTGCACTTCCATCCACCACAGCCTGCACAAAGCCCCTAATGTCTGCTTCGCTCAGGCGACCTCCATCTCGCTTCATGCGGATCAGCTCTGGGAGCTGTTTGGGCTCCCCACTCTCTTTCCCTGAGAGGGCACCAGCTGCTTCTGGAGTGGATGGGGGTGGTGTCCCTGAGGCTGCCATTGCTCAGCCTGTGGGAGAATTGAGACAAGCCTGGAACTTGTGCCCCCCCCCATGTTCCTGAAACCATGGACACTTCCCCCAACTTTGCACCTGTGTCTTCGGTGCTCATCACTGCTCTGTGTTTGCTCCCTCCCCATCCTCCCCAGGCTGGCTTCCATTTCTTGGCCTCACAACTTGACCCCCAGGTCCGTACCTATTCAATTCAGCGCCCTTCACCAGTTCCCCAGAATTGGCTTCGTTCCAACCGAGTAGCCCACAGCCACGCGTGGAGCCAGTAGGTGCAGAGCAGACTGGTCACTGGCAGCGGTAGTCCAACGACAGTCGGCAGGTAGGGTGGCCTGGGTAGGCGGCACTTGCCAAAGTCAGGCCAATCACCACCCCAGCTACGCCCTGCCTGAGACTTTGTGGCCAATTGCGGAAGTCTCTGATTCCGGGACCTCGAGGGTGAGGGTACTCCTGACCCGAGTCCGCTTTGCCCACTTCCTTTGCTGGCTGGGGTCTTGGAATCTGGGTTCAGAGCACCTCTGCCCTACCCTCTGACAGATCTCTAGGCTTGAACACTGTCTCCAGTTCGGACACCGCTAGGAGGCTCCCACGCTCGCACTCCGTCCTTGCTCCCCAGCCTTGCCCACCCAGCAGAGAGACACACACACAAGACTGGCTTCGGAAGCTTTTAAGCAAACAGCGGTGGGCCAGTAAGTGCCGACGGGCCCGGCGTCAGTTGTCCATGGAAGTCATCATTGGGGCTAGGTAGTCTGAGTGCCGGATCCCGAAGCTCCAGCCTCGTGGCTTCCGGTGCTGCGGGCCCAGGAGATTTAGCTGACCTTGCAGAGCCTGGTGTTGGGCTTCTCATGGCTCTTATTCCCCAGGGACCCCGACTCATATTTCGGACCTCAGAACCCCTGCCCCTGCCCCATGGCCCTGCATTCCAGACCACCTCGTCCACGTTGTAAGCCGCGGGTCCTGGATTTAAAGTGCTGTCTTGAGGCAGTGAAGTCCGTGCCAGCATGGTGAACTGGGGGGCTCGGGCCTTGTAGACCCCAGGGTTCACCACATGGTAGGCGCAGGGGCCTGGGGTCTGTAGGAAGGTAGGAAAGGTGCTGGGGCCAGCCTCCGTTCCTCGTGGACTACTGCCCGTCCCCCTTTTGTTTTGAGCTAGGCGCTCACTGTGTACTCCAGACCGGCTTCGAACTCGCAACCCTCCTGCCTCAGCGTCCCCAGTAACACCAGGTGTTCGCCACCATTCCCATTTCCGGCTGCTGACCCCCTTAGACCACCCGGGATGCTCAGCGAACAGACCCTTCCCCACCTTGCTGAGGTCCTCGAAGCAGCTGCCCACAGCGCTGCGGCCATAGATGGAGTATGTTGGGGCTGAGACTTTGCCTATGACACGCGGGCCTAAGAGCGAAGGCACAGTGTAGGACCCGGGGCCTGAGGGGGAGCCAGGAAGAAGTCAAGTTAGGGCAGCCACACAGCTTTTATAGGGGATCCCCGGTCCGGGCTGGGCAGGTCCCTAGTGCCAGATTGAGCCTTTCTGGCCTCACCTGGGGTCTCCTGCTTTGAGAGAACGCCCCAGTTTCGTGGAGCGATGGTATGGCGCGGAGCGCTAGGGTGTGTCGCATTTCCCGCACGTTCTGGGAAGTACCTGCCTATGGGATGGACCAAGAGTGTGGGCCAGAACTGGGGTGGGATGGGGTACGGGGGACACAGGCTGGGGTCTTGGTGGTAGAGGGAAATTGGAGTCACGGTGGGGTTCGGGGGTCTGGGTTCGGGTGGGAGGCTCCTCGGGTTTGGGGTCAGGCTGGAGGGTCCCGGCCCGGCCTCCCCGGAAGTAGCTCCATTTCGGTGAAACCCGGGTCCCAGGGTGCTGACCCGGTCCCGGGGTGAGGAAGGGCGCCGAGTGGCGCAGGCGGCCGTAGATGGAGTAGGCCGGAGCGCCGTCGGTGCCTCGCACTGTCATGCCGGCTGGCACCAGGTGGCCGGGCCCGGGGCCACAGGATGTCTGCTGCGTGGCGAGGCGCGTGCCGAAGGTGAAGGCGGGGGCGCGTGGCCGAGACGGGTCGTGCAGGATGTAGCCTGCCGAGTGGTTCGGCGTCACGACCCGCCCTGCCCAGCGGCTGCAGCCGCAAGCCCCTCTGCCTGCTCACCGTTTCGTCTTTCGGCCTCGCTCTTTGATCTGGGCACAGCCCCCCAGCCCTGGACTCCAGGCCCACAGCGCTGTCCCACCTTCCCACTTCCTCCCAGGCGTCCGCCCTGCTACCGGTGTTCGGCGGCAGCTTGTATTTGGGCCCCGGGCCTCTGTGGAGCGCTGCGATGGGGCCGCGGGGCCGATGAGGTCGCCAAGTGCCGACCCAGCCTTCTGAGCCCATGGCACCGGCGGAGGCGCCTGCGGCTTGCAGCACCTGTGGACAGAATTCGCAGAAGACCCACTTTCCACGCTCGGCTCAGGACCAGCAGGACTGAGAGCCCGGGCCTAGGGCCCATTGCGTATCCCTGGGCACCGGGAAAACAAACAGTTTCCCAGGCTGGCACTGGGCCGGAACAAGCTCTGAGGCAGTCTCCTGCCTCCTATTCCAAGGGTGTCAATAGCTGTGGACCCAGAAATTGGAAAGGGAGTTTCCTGGAGTTTTAGGGTGGGGAGGGGATTTGAACAGCGTTGGCGAAGAATGCCCTGGGGATGGGCTTGTGGGGCCCCGGCTGTGCCAAGGGAAGGTCTGGAGATATTCTGACCGGCTGTGGTGGTTCCCGCTTGGGGAAGCAAAGCTGGGTGGTCAGACAACCCTACCCCCAAACTCCTAGACCCTATTATGTCCCGTTTTGCTTCCTGGCAACCAGCCCGACAGCTTGGCCCCACCCTCCCAGCCTCCAGCAGTATCGCTGACTTGCCTCTGCTCTGTGTTTACTGGACATAAGGCTGTGCTATGATCAGAAACTGGCCTTATCCTTTAAGCCCACCCTTCAGTGCGTCCACTTCAGAATTAGAAAAACCTGCAGTCAAAAAATAAGTGTGGGCAGAAAGGAATACCATGGCAAGCTCAATTCAATTACATGTCTATGAAATATTTTCAAAAACTAACCGTGGTTAGTCGGGTGGGAGGCTCCCAGCCGGGCCTCCCCGGAGGCAGCTCCACGTCGAGGAGACCTGAGTCCCAGGGTGCTGACCCGGTCCCGGGGTGAGGAAGGGCGCTGAGTGGCGCAGGCGGCCGTAGATGGAGCAGATCCGGGCGTCGTCAGTGCCGAGCACTGTTGCGCGGGCAGGCACGAGGTGGCCGGCCCAGATGCTAAGGATTGTACCCAGGCTAAGCCAATAAATATACAAGTTGAATAAAGAGGTAGACTAAACATATTATTTGATCACAATCCAACACACATTTTAAAGTGTAAAAAAGTAAAAAGTAAACAAGTACTTTGCAATTACTTTAGAAAACTTCAGAATGAGAAACTCAAATCTGGTTGCAAACTATATAAAACACTGTAGAAGTAGACTCTACATCTGACTATAGGCTATAGTTGAAGTTGTATTCAGAAAAAAAAATTATAGCGGTAAGATAACCCCATTTTTTTTTTTTTTTTTTTTTTTTTAGACAGGGTCTCTTTGTAGCCCCAGCTGTCCTGGAACTCACTATGTAGACCAGGCTAGCCTAGATCTCACAGAGATCATCCTGTCTCTGCCTCCCGAGTGCTGGGATTAAAAGCATGCGTCACCACACCCAGCTAGATAACCCCATTTTAAAAAAGTTTTATTTTTATGTGCCAAGTGTTGCCTTCATCTATGTAAGTGCACCATGTGTTTGCAGTCACCATGGAGACCAGAAGAGGGTTTCAGAACCTCTGGAACTGGAGTTACATACAGTTGTCAGCTGCCATGTGGGTGCTGGGAATGGAATCCCAGCTGCTGAGCCATCTCTTCAGCCCCAGACAACCCCATTAATGAAGATCATTAAAAAAAAAAACAAACCCTTAGAATACATTTTACAAACAGAAAAAGAAAATACCTAAAAGAATGAAACAGTGGAATAGGCTTATAGTCCCAACATGTAGGGAGTCAAGGCAGGAGGATCTCAACCCCAATCAACACTACATAGATCTGACTCAACAACAACAACAACAAAATAAAATCCAACGACAATAAGACAAAAAGGTACTAACACAAGCAAAGCAGCAGAAATGATAAATGCCTATTTTCAAAAATATACTCCAGTGAGCTTGGTAAAGGGAGAAAAGTAAAAACCTATAAAGAAGAAAATGTTGGAAGAGGCCCGAAGAGGGCATTGGATTCCTTAGAACTGGAATTATAGATGGTTGTGAGGTGCTGTGTGGGTGCAGGGAACCAAACCTGGGTCCTCTGCAAGAGCAACCAGTATTATTAACTACTGAGCTATCTCTCCAGCCCCAACATTTTTTTAAAGGACAATTTGTTTTTATGACTCAGAAACTACTACATTTAGCAGTGAGTAATAACCCCCTAAATAAACAACACTCCCTGCTGCCCACCCCCAGCTGATCAGTGTCTTGTGTGTTTTCCCTACTCAGGTAAAAGAACTTCACAAGGAAATAGGCAGCCTGGTATCCAGCCCCAGGAAGGGGTTAGGCTCTGTATTTCTCTTAGTCCTCATGGTTACAGAATGGATGCTCTACCTCCAGCCTATATTTCATGTTTAGAAGAGTAGTAAAGGGCAAAAGGTACGAAGGGTGCTCCTTACTAGAGAGCTTCCAGGAAGTCCTATTACTTTTTTTAAAAAAAAGTTTTATTATTTTTTATGTGTATGCATGTATTGCCTGCATGTAGGTAAGTGCACCCATGTCATGCAGTGCCCGAGGCGGTCAGAAGAGACTGTCGAATCTCCTGGGACTGGAGTTACAGATACTTGTTAGCTGCCATGTGGGTGCTGGGATTTGAACTCTGGTCTTCTGCAAGAACAACCAGTGTTCTTAACTGCTGACCATCTTGCCAACCCCAAGTCCTATTACTTTTATAATTCCTCAAAAGAACTGTGCATGTGACCTCTGCTCTAAGATGGGAAATATTTTTTAGCTTGGATCATTGCCAACTCTACATATTAGGAGAGAAAAGGGACAAAAAAATTGCTGTTGAAATGTCACTTGGAAGGGCTGGGGATGTAGTTCAGTAGTAGAATGCTTGCCTAGCATGCACAAGGTCCTGGGTTCAATCTCTAGCACTGCCTCCCAATTCCAAAAAAAAAAAAAAAAAGTCACCAGAGCGTACCTGGAATTCCAACTTTAAGGAGGCTGAGGCAGGAAGAGTGCAAGTTTGAGAACAGCCTGGATTGCAGAGTGTGACTGTGCCTCAAAATAATTAGGTCACTAGGGACTGGGGTGTTGCTCAGGGATAGAGCATGTGCTTAGCCTGGGTACATTCTTTAGCACCAGAAGGATCATAGCAGAAATCCCCAGAGTACCATATATCACTTCCAAACTCCTTAAAGACAGATAACTTCACATCATAAAGAAGGAAGGTGGTGGGGCTGGAAAGATGGCTCAGCAGTTAAGACCACTGGGTGCTCCTGCAGAAAACCCAGGTTTGAATCCCAGTAGCACATGGCGGCTAACAATCATCTGTAACTCCAGTTCCAGGGGATTCGACCCCCTCTTCTGGCCTTCACAGGCACTGCACGACACGGGCATTTACATACGTTCAGGCATAACACTCATATACATAAAAAAAAAGTTAAAGCTGGGCGTGGTGGTACACGCCTTTAATCCCAGCACTCAGGTGATCTCTGTGAGTTCAAGGCCAGCCTGGTCTACATAGTGAGTTCCAGGACAGCTGGGGCTACAGAGAAACCCTGTCTCAAAAAGACCAAAAA